GATCCTCACTGGTTGACCTTTAGATGCCTGTGGGGACCTTGACAAGGGCTTTTCGCTCCCCAAAGTGTGGGTACGGACTTTTCATTCCCGGAAGTGTGGGCCTTCTCTCCGGTGGATCCTGAAGCTACCATCGATAACTCACATTCATGGATGAGAAAGCTCAATGTTGTTATAATATCAATTTCTTCCAAACTCATTGAGTCAATAGAATAGAATTCAGTCATGTTCAATAAAATCATTGGAATACAATATTTAAAATGCACTTTCAAATTATTTCAACTCCACAGTCCAGAACTAGGGAATCATCTGTAAGGATGATTGGGTTTACATAGGAGGCTCTAAAAATGCTTTACAAGCCACAAGAATGACTGTGCCTGACTTCAGAATCCAGTTACCACAAGAAATAAAAAATCTACTGAGTCTGCTCTTATTTTTTAAAAGCAAGATTTATTTGTATTAATTTGCTTAAAAGGCAGAGTGTCAGCGGTAGAAACAGACAGGGAGAGACAGAGAGAGAGAGGGAGGAAGGAGGGGGGAGAAACTTCTATTCTCTGATTAACTCCTAAAATGGACCCAATGGCTAGAACTAGGCCAGGACAAAGCCAGGAGCCCAGAACTCCATCAAGATCTCCCACATGAGTGGCTGGAACCCAAGAACCAGGGGCATCTCCCTCTATTTTCTCACAATAGCAAGGAGCTGTATCAGAGGCAGAGCACCTGGGACTCCAACTGGCACTTCAACATGGGATATAGGCATTGCAAGTGGAGGCTTAACATGATGCATCACAATGCCAGTCCCAATTCCACTCTTCTTGGGTTAGGCATTGCTTCGAGAAGAGAAACACACACTGAAATATATAGGAAACTCACTGTATCTGAATGCTAGTTTACTTAGAGAGAAGAGAAATACAAAAGAGAGATGGATCTCCTTTGTTTTCTAATATGCTGTGCCCAGCCTCAGAGAAATGTGCCCTAATGAATGTAAACTATTACAGATGTTACCAATTACACTAGTCTCTCCCTTTATGGAGCTGAGTGAAAGAGAATGTAGAAAAAGAAACCAATTCAATATTTATCCTTTCATGGGGAATAGAACTATATTCTCCTGCTCTCTATGCTTTCCTCTGTTTATCTTTTGTAAAATTGAAATAATGATGATATTATTTCATAGAGATGCGTGATGGTTTGAATGTACCCCTTCTGAAATTCATGTTGAAACTTAATTCCCATGGTGCTGTATTAAGAGCTGGGGTTTTTAGGAAAGTGGTTAAATCATAATAACTCTGCTTTCATGAATCAATTAGCACCCTCTAAAAGGACTGGAGGGGGAAAGCTAAGGCCATTTTTGCCCTTGTGCCTTTCAACAAAGCAAGAAAGCACTAATCAGATACCAAATGCTGGCACCTTGCTCTTAGATTTCTCAGTCTTTGGAATGGTGAAGAATAAGATCCTGTTTATAAATTATCCAGTCAGTGGTATTTTGTTATAGCAGCACATACTGATTATTAAATGAGACAATTCATGTAAGGAATTTGACAATGTCTGGCACACAGTAAGCTGTCAATACATCCAACCTGTAACTTTTTTTCTTTTTACTAACAAACCCTCCCATTCGAGTTAACGTTGTTGTTTTTTTAAAAACTGAAAGTACTTAGTGGCACAGAATACATTAAAAATTCCTTTGGAATGGTTAAGGCAAGTGTGCAGGCTGAAAAGGAGGGAAGAAGTATTATTTTATTGGCATTGGTTCTTAAGGCAAAATGTAGAGATGTTCTGTAAGCATTTTAAATGCAAACATAATGTATTTTCAATGGCAAAATCCCAGAATCTTATCACAGTGCTTGACACATACAAGGCATTCACTTAATATTTGCAGTATCCATTAATAAATAAATGGGCCTTAGCATAAAACCGCAGGCTCCGGGTTTCGGCTCCCAGAAGAAAGCTCTAGAGGCAGCGAATGCTAGGAGACCCGAAGGCAGGTCACTGTCCGTGGTCCTGAACCCTGTGGAGAAGGAATCTGTTCTTTTGCAAACTGCTTTCTTCTCGCTCTCTTCAAAAATACCATTCATAGTCTATTTTCAAGACACGAAGACAAACGCACCCCCTCCCCAAATGTTTAACAAATGGGTTAATTCTCACTATCTCGGGTGATTTAAATGTTCTTTAGTCTTTAGTCTACAGAGCCTCAAAGCTCTCTACGTAAGAATCATGGATTTATTTGGTCTGGGAGTAAATGTTAATGTGTTGATCAGTCCTTGGACATTATCTCAGAGAACAGAACCCTTACCACACCTCCTTCTTAAAGACTAGGTTGGGCTGCCCGTGGTACCTTTTCAGTGTCCCCGAAGGCTGCGGGACCACACGTCTGACTCTCACAGTCAGCCCAGCCCAAACAGCTCCGAGAGCTGCTGTCACCCCGCTCCTCCCTCCCTCCTCATTAGCACTGAGCAAAAAGAACCCCTGGACACTTGGAGTCATTTCAAGAATCCTGGGAGCATGGTCGTGGGACTCCTCGGGCTTCCACCCCGCACCCTCAGACTCCACGCAGCTCGGGTGCAGGGGTCACCACGGAACCACTCGCTAGACTAATTGGACTGTATGCGGACACACGGCATCCTTCCTTTCACTTCCTTCCTCTCCGCGTATCCTCCCGTTCCGCAGTTAGCAGACAGAGGCTCACACTGAAATGTCTCCTAAACATCAAAAATTTAAAAAGTGCACCAAAATCCCCTGCGGGTTACGTGTGTTTGTGTGTCGCGTGTGTCCATCCGCGCTTGTGCAAAATCTCCCAACGTCACAGTTCTCAATCGGGACAAGCGCATCGAGAAATCCGAGATCTTTCCAGGGATTCCTGCACCCTGCCCTCCTCTTCTTTGGCACCTCCCACGAGGTAGGTCTGGGGCTTTTTGCAAACCATTACCACAGCGACAGAGGCACAGCAATCTGCTGCAATTTGTTTTCCCCTTCGCTCTTCAGAGAACAGTCCCGAGCGCAGGGCTTCCTTCCCAGTTCCCAGCAGATACGTTGCAACCCCGTGCGAGTCCTTCCCCGGCTTCTGACAGCCCTTCTGCGGACCCGCTGGCTCTGGCCTCGGCCTGGGCGCCGCGCTGTGCTGTGCTCGCGCCGCCCCCGCCTTCGCCTGGGGCCTCGGAGAGCCGCATGTTGGGCTAGGGAGAGAGAGAGAGAGAGGTGAGAGTGTGAGTGTGTGCGCGCGCGCGGGTTTGCTGGGGGAAATCTCCCTTCAGTGGAAGCAGCTCAGCGTTCCTGGCGGAGAGTATCCTGGAGCCCAGCAAAAGCCTCCAAAGCACTGGAGCGTCCCTAAAGAAAAACAGAAGGGGGGAAAAAAACCTGGAGGGGAAACCCGTTCCCCTTAAGCTCAGGTTTCCCATAGTCTTGGATCCTCCAGGAGCTGGGTAGAGGCGCAGTCGGCAGCCGCTGCCGCCGGCCCACGGACTTAGAAATACGGTTTTCGCCCTTTCGGGGGGAGGGAGGTGAGGGACTTGGAAGCAAGAGTTGCACCTGGTCTAGGAACCTGCAGAGAGGAGAACTGCGGGGTAAGTACCGTTCTGCACTGGAGCAGAAGGGGCGAAGGTGGGGGGGGGGGAGTGTAGGAGAGGGACGAAACGGAGAGGGCAGGGAATGAGTTATGCAAAAAAAAAAAAAAAAAAAAAAAAAAATCCCCAATATTCCGCAGAGGAGGGTGAGCAGAGCACTCCCAGGATGAATCCCTCCCGGTCTCCCGCGCCGAATTGGCAGGCGCGAAGTTCTTTGAAGCAGAAGCGAAACTCGAGCGTCCTGGAGGCAGCTGGGGCGGGGCGGAGCGGAGGCGGCCGCCCGGGGCCAGGGCCGAGGCGGCGGCCACAGTGGCCTGGAGTTCTGGCGCCCCGCATTCCCCTCCTCCTGATGGCCGGGTTAAGCCTCAGCTTCCCACCCTGGCCTCCTGCTCCGTGCCCGCCCGTCTGCCGGACGGCCCAGCTGACAATGGGATTCCAGGCGGCGGCGAGGATGCTCACCTGGCCGAGCCTCCTCCTCCTCCTCCTCCTCTTCCTCCTCCTCCTCCTTCTCCTCCTCCTCTTCCCGCCCCCACCAGCCCTCCTCCTCCGTTCTGAACTGGGAAGCGTCGGGATCCGTAGGCGAGGAAATAACGACCCCTGCAGTTGCATTGCGGAAAATCTCGGCGGCGGCGCTAGTTGCGGGCGATGGAAGCGAGGCAACGGGTTTCCGGGGAGCCCAGGAAAATAGCAGAGGAGCGGAAAGCGCGCTCGCGACGTGGGGAGCCCGAGGGCCCCGCCGCGCCCGGCCCCCTGCGCTGCTGCGCCCGGCGGCTCTGCTCCGCGCCCTGAACGCGCGGCCCGCCCCTGGCGCGGAGACGGCCGGCTGCGCGCCGACTCGGGAGCAGGGAGGGTCGGCGGAGGCTGCCTGCGGCCGGCGGTTTCGGGCAATAATCCCTGCCTCTCTTTCTCTGTCTCCCTGTCTGCTGTGTCTGCTCCTCCCCCCGCCCCCCGGAAGCAGGAGGAGAACGGCCCCGGAGCGGAGCAGCCACCCTCTGACCATGCCCCGGTGAGGGGCGCGGACTTCGAGGGCAACTTGTCGCGGACTGCCTGGGCTCAGCCAGCGCTCTGCCAGCGGCACGGTGTGGCCCGGCGGGGGGCTATCGTCTATGTCTTCTTGGGGCGCCAGGCGGATCGGGGTCTCGTTTCTGCAGGAAGAGCCCAGCGCGGGTGGCTTCAGGTGGCTGGTGCCGCGGCCGCTGCTGCCAGAGCTGATTCCGCCGCGGGTCCGCGGAGCAGAGACGCGGGCGCGGGGAGACCTCGGAGGCAGCGAGGCATCGGACATGTGTCAGCACATCTGGGGCGCACGTCCGTCGAGCCCGAGGGGAGCTTTGCCGGAACACTTCAAACTGCGATATTGATCTTGGGGGTGACGGTCCCTGGCCGGCTGTCGGGTGGGAGTGCGAGTGTGCGCCCGCTCGAGAGTGCGCGCGCGTGTGTATGTGTGTGCCGCGTCGGGCCCCCCCTCCCGCCCCCCTGTTTTCCCGTCGAGTGATGCACTTGGAATGAGAATCAGAGGATGGAAATAGTGTGGGAGGTGCTTTTTCTTCTTCAAGCCAATTTCATCGTCTGCATATCAGGTACGGGACGCGTTGGAGTCGCGGACGGGTTCGGGTTTTTGTGGCGGTGTTTCCAATGTGCGGGGTTTTATTATGTGTGGACGCGGAGTGGGAGGTGGGGGGAGTGGTAAGGGCCCTTTCAGCCCTGCGGGGTCGCCGCCTTGGGTATCAAAAACCTTGTAAGTCCGAGTGTGTGTGTGTGTGTGTGTGTGTGTGTGTGTGTGTGTGTGTTTAGGATCAGTGTGGAAGGAAGAGAAAGAAGAGGCAGATGGGTGTTGATTTTCTACTGCTTTTCTGGCTGAGAACTCTGGCGCCGAAATCCGAGCCTTGGCAACCCCCGCCTCCATCCCCTGGCTTTCAAAGTTCCCCAACTCGGTGGTTCCTGGCTGGCACAATGGACGTGGAGCCCTGCCCTGGCGTCTAGGCACTTTCCTGAGACTGCGGGAGCATGCGGGACAGGGAGATGTAGAGGCCCTTCACATCATCTCCCAAACTGGTTAGCCTGGATTAGGATGATATGAGACCTGCCGGCACACTTCTTCTTTTGACCCAGATGAAAGGGAGAAAAAGAAAAAAAAAATGAGACGGGATAATATCACAAACCACTTTAGATCACCGCCTTGTTTAATTTCTAGCAGAGAGGATGTGCTGGCTCCCAAGGATCTCGGGCGGCTTGTTGCAGAGTCTGTGGTTTCAGGAGCAAATGAGAACCTAGGGTATGGACGTAAATGGGGTAGGGATTTTGAGTGCCTGCACCTGCGTGTCTGTGTGTTGGGAGGAATTCTGATTTCTGAGCAGTGTATTTGTGGGTGCAGGAAATTGAGCATGGAAGGGAGCCATGCAGGAAAGCCCCAGGACCAGCAGCGTTCCCCAGCTCAGTGGCTCCTCCCACTGACAGCCCCCATCTCACTTGCCTGCACACCTGCAGTTTAAACACCCAGCATAAAGCCCATTTGCAGCTCTCCCTCCTGCCTGCATTCCCTCTGCAGAATTGGGTACTCAGCCAATTTCCCATGAAGTCACCAGAAGAGGAGAGCAGGAACCTTGCGCCCCCACTCCCTCCCCCTGGGCAGACACAGTTGAGTGGCACCAGGTGGAGGGATCTGACTCCTGCCTATTCCCTCAGCCATGCCAATCCCCACCCCCTAAGCCAAACCTGCTTCTGGATTGCAGAGCCCTTGTTCTGTCCTTACCCTGGACTCAGTTACAAATACCACTGTGCAGTTTCAGTTTTCTCTTCGTCAGGCACAGATGGGAATTTGTTGCCTGAAATCATTCTCTCTGGGGCTTGGCCACCCCACAAAAAGTATACCTCTGCTATACTTTAGTGAAATATGTTGTGTGCCCCAGAGACAAGAAGGAGTGCCCTGCGGTCACCCCACCTCCTGTAGTGGGAACTCTTTTACTGCAGCCTGCATCTTAAGAGCCAACATCACCAGGTGACTTGTAAAGGTTTACATCAATTATATGTCCAGGGATAGATTGGGTGGCATCTCACAAGGCCACGTTTTACATCTTTCTCTTCTGTATAGCTATTTCAAGCTCTCTTTCCAGAATATTTCACTGGCTACTAAATAGCCTCTCCCTACCTCTCTCCAACATTATAAATAATTTTTAATTCAGACAAGCCATCTGAGTCCCTTTAAGATATACAAAGGGTTAACATTTATCAGGGTCCCTGGTTTCCACCAGTATCCTGTCAGTTTGAATCTCTTACCCTGAATTTGGCCAGGCAGTCATGAGAGGGAACTCCTGAGAAAGGGTGGGCTCTTAGCTTCCAGAGGAGGCATTAGTAGGATACCTGTCACAGCTATATTTGATTTGGTGTATCAGCAGCTAAATTATTCAAATAGAAGCATTAGAAGGGAATTATTTCCAACCCAGAAGGAGTGCTATGGAGTTTGTGGCCTTTCACTTGTATTTACTAAATAATCATCATTACAGTGTAATGTGAGGATAAAAGTGTCAGCAAAATTGCTAGCTATTAGCTAAACACAGAAAACTAGGTTAGCATTCCAAATGCCTGGTTAGGAACTGCATTCATTTGCGCTTTATGAAGATGTTTGGGCAGACTTGTAACATTATGTACTCTGTATTTACTCACCCATAAACTTTAAGAGGCTGCTTTCTCCCTGGCCAAGGTGGTGGCCTCCTCCTGTAAGCAGATCCACTCATTCAGACGTGCCCATGTATATGAGAATTGATTATTAATATAATTATGACTCACAGTTGCCACAGTTTGGGGGACCCAGACTTCTCTTTCCATCTACGGCCTTAGGAATGCAATGCACTAAGGCTGAATAATTGTGGCTTAGGGAGCGTTTAGTGAATCTCATTTCTCTTCCCATGATTTGCAGTTTTAATTTACTCACAATTGAGCTAGACCAAAAGGAACATAACCCTGCGATCACAGGACCTACTAAATCAGAATTGCTTTTTAAAAATTCAAAAACAAAGGCCTTCTCCACCATCTTGGGATGAATCGCCCTGACCAGTGGATGCATGCTAATTCTCCCTGAGTTACAAGACAGCAGCGACTGATAGAGTGGTATAACTGGCTTCATTGTTGAGGAGGACCAGGCTGGAAAAGGCCAACAAAACTGTGCAGCATAAACATTTTGCAGAAGGAAAATAGTGGTAGTTATTTTGGCCTATTGAAGATATACTTACTCAATTTCATTTGGTGGTATTTGTCTGTAAGATGCTCTGGAGCTTTGTAGTTTAGTGTTAACCAAAGCTTCCAAAACCCTCTGCACTCCACCCCCCAAATTAAATGTATACACAAACAGTTTTCTCCCTAGACCTATTTGGATATGCAGGGTATTCAAAAATTAATGAAAAATGCATATTTTTAAAATTAGAAAACACTGTGCATGGGTTTCAAAATATTTTGCACCCAAATAAACTTATCTTTTAACTCCATTTTCTGCTAACTTTTTGTGGTTGGTCCTCTCATATATTTCTTAAAGTACAGATTCCTGTGCTTGGTATTTTTGATGGCTCTGCATTTACTGGTTGTGATTTGGTTGGCAAATGGAACTGGGAATCTATTTGGTCAGGATTAGCTAGCTGCTGGGTAAGAAGCATGCGTGCCTTGCATTTGATAGATTTTTATCAGTCTTTGCTACTTAATGACAACACAGCAAGGCTGAAGAAGAAATGCATGATCTGGGAGTCCCTCTGCCTCCACGCTAAACTCAGATCTGATTTTGCTGAAAATGTAAGTCACCCACGATCTGTAAAGAGGAAGGAGAGAGGAAGAGAGAGACACAGAGAGGGAGAGAGATAATGATTTTTTTCTCTGTGCTAGCAAGAGCACCATTGCCTTCCCACTAAAGCAGTTCAGATCACTGAGAGTGAATGCTCAGCAGCATGGAGAAAGAATTTCCTGGTGAAAAGACAGCTGCTTAATTTAATTCATACAATGCATCCTATTTTTCCCTTATTTAACTTTGCTTATCTGTTTACTCATAATAACATCAGGCATAACAATTAGAATTATGTGGTGCTTTCACATATATTGCACATATTAAACTTGTCTATTCTTGGAATTTATAGTATGATTTTATATAATAGGCAACCAAAGCCTACAGAGGTTCAGCCTGGAGGATTCACACTCAGGTCTGAGAAACTTCAGTATAGCATTTATGTTTTGGTTCACAATTTCTTGTAAATGTTCTTATTCAATATTGTTTATTTTGATGTTTCTAGTTAAAAGAGTGAATGAGATTAAGTGGCTGTGAGCCTCAGAATTTGGAATTGGAAGTTTAAGATGATTAGAGTTTAGGGCTAGAATTGAGCTAGTATTTGAGTTGTATATAACAAACAGATGAAACTATTATCCAGTTGCCCTCAGTGTCTTATAATCAGTAGTCCCTACAAGCTAGGACTGTTTAGTACATTATTTTCCTATTCTGAAAATTAAAATGGCTTAGTTAAGTTTATTTATGTGTAGAATGGAGACAGAGTAACTCTTCCCATGTGTTTCTTACATGGATTCAATGAGATAATGAATTCAATGATTTTTCCTTTAGCATGATGTCTGGCATATAATTATCACACAATAATTACATTATTTATAGCCTACAAATAGGACATTGTATACATCTGGCTCATGGTAGAATTTCACTTTCTGCCATGTCAACTTCTTTAAAAGCAAAAGCAATCCCTAGCAAGCAATGATCTATAGCCTTGAGTATGAATGCCACTTTCAAGGATGCCTTGGTTAAAATTTCTGAAATGTTTTCTAGTTTTCTTTCTCATACAAATGAGATCAGTAGCATCGGGCTTTTGTGCATACTTATGAATGTAACTCATTATCCCTGTGACCCCAATATGGAGATGAAGTTTGGAAAGTTGAATAAATCACATGGAAAATTTGTGGTGCTTATTACATAGGGGACCAGCATCATTTTCCTCTTTCTGATTGTATATTATAGCTTTATAGCTCCAACTTTAAAAGTTCTCCAAAATGGCAAACTGCATGTCCTTTGAATATGGCTTGAAACAGCATATTTCTGTTAAGTACAAAAGAACCCCACCAAAGCAAAAAGTACTCATCTGATTTTCTCATTAGCAACATCATTTCCTTAAATACAGTTTCCCATGTGATGCCATATAGCCCACTTACAAACAGATAACCATCATCTTAGATGAACTTCTCCAGGCAGTGAGTTAAGGGAGTCTTCCCAAGTGATGTAAGATCCCAAGCGGCAAAAGAAATGTCAATATGGGGAAATATTTCCTTGAGTGGGGAGACAGATTGAATGCCATCCTAGGAAATCAGTACCTAAAACTTTGACTTATCTCATTAATGGAGCTGTACATATGTGGCTTTAGGTCAGAAAGATCCAGGTACTGTGGGTATGTAGGGTAATAATCCTTTATGGAAATCAGAAGACCCACCCCACTATCCCATTCTACATTAATTTCCTGTATGGCCTAGGCAATTTTCATAACCTCTCAGAGTCAGTTTCCTCATCTGTAAAATGGGAATTATATTTGCTTTGCCTGTTTCAAAG